GACCTGTAGTGACAGGACAAGGGGTAATGGGTTTAAATTGAAATCAGGGAGGTTTAGATTAGATATCAGGAAGAAGGAGGTAGTTCTTCACGGGGAGGGTGGGGAGGCACTGGAACAGGTTTCCCAGAGAAGTTGTGGATGCCCCATCCCTGGAAGTGTCCAAGGCCAGGCTGGATGAGGCTTTGAGCAACCTGGTCTAGTGGAAGGTGTCCCTGCCCATGGCAGGGGGGTTGGAACTGGATGATCTGTAAGGTGCCTTCCAACCCAAACTATTCTATGATTCTATGATTTTAATGGTCTAAATGTTCAAAAACTGCTACTACACCCTGCTGACAGGCAGTAGTGCTGTAAGATGCACTAACCCAACTGCTCCTGATTGTGTCAACACACTTTTTAGCTTTGTTTCTCTTTTTGATCTTGTGCAGCTTCTTTGAAACAAAATTAGTGTGTTCAAAAAAATTGGCCAGAGGCAGCAGTCTCTGCCTCTGCTTGGCAGTTCCCTACTGAATGTTGTCAAAAGGGCATCTCACTTCCCCTGTACTTGCCCATGGCCTGCAGAAGAGTGAGTTGGAATAAAGTAAAAAGTAGAAGTGCTAAGAGGAAGCCCCCACAAGGAAAGGCAAGTAGCATGTTACAGAGCCCATGACTCTTCATCAAAATAACTGGGGTGCCTGTCGATAGAAGTGCTAGTTTAGTAGCGTTGTCAACTTGGGAGATTTGCAGGGTGAGATCTCAAGATTGGGGAAGCTTTGTGTGAAGCACCAGAAATGATGTTAGCGTGTGGCAATTTCAGGTCAGACTTACAAGGAGGTTTTTTTAAGTACTTCTGCAGTCCTAGTGACTGTAGAATGAGGTTAGAATGTGGGGATTGAGTAGGTCCTAAAAACAAAAATTGAACTAGGGCCGTAGTATAATTCAGATTGTAAGGGACCTTGGGGGTGTCCCCAGTGTGACCTCCTGCTCAAATCAGGTCAGCAGTGAACTCAGACCAGGTTGCTAGGGGCTGCACCCAGATGGATGAGGCTCTCACAACCTTTCTGGTTTTCTGGTTCCACTGACTGGACTCCCAAGGTATTTCTTGAATAGAATCTCCTTACTGAACCAATATCGTTCAGATCATTCTTGCACACTTTAGTTTGGCAATACCCTTAGCCATCTGTTGGAGGTTACTGCTAGCCAGAGGATTCAGCACTGAGAGATCACTCCATCGTCTTTGTTTTTCATTTAAATACTAATAGCTAGTTTCAACTACATAGCAAAAAGGTGGATTAATCTTATCCTTGATTTTTGACAGGGAAACTGATGAGGGAGGCTATAATTAGGTTTCATTGGAGTTTTATGAAAATGAATCTGTAGTAAATTAATTTTTCAGTGGCTCTTAGTCTGTTTTGCATATTAAAAAGAAAAAAGCTTCTGAATGAATGCCTCTGTTTTTCCACCATCTCATTAGGATTTCTCTCTGCTCAGAATGTACAGGAGTTCAATTAGATCCACTTGCCAATGCAGAGATTAGAGAGGAAGTCCCTTTTCCAGGCCATTGCACTCATCTGAATTGTGGCCAGAATTTGGTTTCTGTGGACCCTGAATGAGTTATATGTGGAAGAGGAGAGAACTGTGGCTCTCCTTTCTGGCTTGCTGGGATTCCTCCTTAGAAAGCACTGGCCCTACTCACCGAGCAGTGATGGACGATTTACGTCAGGGGCTGCATCTGTTGAATGGATGCTCTGCACTTCTATAACCTGAGTAGAACCTTTTGGCTTTCTGTTCCTTTCCTCATAGTGAATGCTGGGAAAATTTGCCCAAAGAAAGATTTCAAGTCGATCATAAAAAAAATGATGGTCTGTTCAAAAATAATTACTATTTTAGAATAGCATCTTTCTTTTCCTGATATTCTGTGTACACTCCACAAAACTTGCATGCTTTAAAAGCCTCCAGCGACACGCTTTGAGAGCCTAGAACAAGCAGGCTAAGTTGTTTATGTAGTACTTGTTAGCAGGGCAGCCTGAACCCTAAAATCTCTTCTCTATAGCTAATCTCATCTTAAAGCTGCAGCTTGGCTTACCGACACCCTGGGTGAAATCAAAATCCTAGCTGTGCTACTGTTTTGTTACTGATTTAAAAGGGTTGGATTTCTCTGCGGATGCTGAAATGTGTTAACCAACCTATTTTAAAACTATGGCCTTTTTCAGGATGAAGACATACCCCAGGAGGGGGGTTTCTTTCTCTCCCTTTAAATATAATCCTCATTTCTGCTGTGGGATGAAGTCAGCCATGGCTATCTTTAAACTTGGCGGTATCATGTAGCAAATGGTCAGCTAAATTTAAATTCCATTTTTTGGCATGAAATCGAGCAAAAGTATTTGTAAGATAAAAATGCAGTTATGGTTGATTTAATTTTCTCCTGCAAACTAGGACACAAGTTCATGATGGAAATCTTTATTTTTAGATGATAGCATTTGAGTGCTTCTGTTCATAGTTGAATAAACGGCTTGTAGTAAGAAATTAAAGTGACTTATTCTATAGAAGTTGGTTCTAGAATACCAATCTCCCTTGGGTTTGTTGCCTATTTAAAATGGTTATTCACCCCATGTTTATCCCAAGCTGTCAGCTGTTGGGAAACATGGAATCTTCTATTAAGAAAAAGCTAACAGTAAGGAAGAGGTTTTAGAGGCCAGTTCAGCATTTGCAGCGTGCAGAATTAGACCAGGTAGCTTGGCATTCAGTTTTCATGAAGGACACAGAATTGACTCATTCTGCAGTTTTCACAAAATGTTATTTCATATAAAATAGTGGCACGGTAGGCATGGGAAAGTAAGAGCCTCTCTTTGTGTAGGTCAGTTGATACCACTTAATCTGTAGGAAAGCAAACCACAATAAAACTAGGTAGTTGGTACAGGATTTCTTGTACAAAGAGTCGAGAAAGATTTTGGGTGGGATTCAGTTCACCTAAGTCAGCTGTCTGGGAATTAAGAGTTTGGTGTAAGATAATCAGGCTTCTACTGTAAGTACTGGGGAAAGAGAAAGGGAGGCGGAGGGGGAGGTATCTCCAGAGGCTCATTGCCCTAGGTTAGGTATTGTTCTTTCTCCCATAACTGTTGAAGAACATTCAACAAGGAGCTGAGGAGGAGGTAGCTAATTGTCGAACAACTACATACTGTGATTTCTTCCCGTTTTTAGAAAGTTATTTTTCCATTTTCCAAGCCGCTCAGTGGAACGTGCCTTGTTCATGACATGAGTGGATAAAATGAATCAATCTCACTTTAGGCTTAAGTCCCCATTGGATCAACAACTGTGGAGGACCAGGCCGGGCAAGCGGTTTGTGTATGGAAAGTCTATTAATAACAGTTTTTATCTTTTTCCTGTGCAGTATTGTGTATGGACCGATGGGCTGAATGCCCTCCTTGGGAAGGATATGTTGAGTGATCTAACGCGGAATGACTTAGACACGCTGCTCAGCATGGAGATAAAGCTACGCCTCCTTGACTTGGAAAACATACAGATCCCTGATGCTCCCCCACCTATCCCAAAGGAGCCCAGCAACTACGACTTTGTTTATGACTGTAACTGAGGCTGCCACTGAAACTCGCTTCAAAACTGGAAATACTATAACTGGAGAGATATTTAAAAAAAAAAAAAAAAAGGAAGAGCACGAGGGGAAAAAAAAGCCACTTGTGCACCTTGGATTTTGGCTTTGGGGAGGGGTGTAGAAACACTTGCATTCCTTCCTGTTCCCTGCATCCCTTCCTTCCCCATTCACATCTTCCCAATTGCTCATCCAAATCCACATTGCTTTAATTAACTTGTAATTGCAGGCCATCGGCCTTGCTTAAGGCAAAGAACTGCCACTGAGAAGCACCCTCCCGAGGACCTTTTTTACGTTTTTAATACTGGAATAGACATTCGTAACTAAAGGACGATGTTACCAAACTGCATTGCCTGTGACACCCACTTGGCAGGGCAGAGGCTTTAACTGGAAGGAGGAGGGAGGTGGGGAGCGGAAGCAGCCGCTGTAAGCAGAAGATTTCCCCAGGCACTCCCCAGAGTCTGCTCACAACCGAATCCAGCGCGATGACAAAAGTCGTTAACTGCTTCCCAGTGCTTGCACCACTCGTCACTGTCATTACTCTTGCCATTGTCATCTTGACTCTTGCCACCGGCCTTCACCCAACTGATTGGCTCCCAGGGCAGAAAGTCTGCAGGTTTTTGCTGTACCATACGCTGCGATGCTGCAACAGCTTTTAACTTCTTTTCCTTATGGCTCTAAGATAGCCCCACACTGGCAGACCACCCGCAAAAACTGTGTACGAAGCCACTAGTGCGTCCCGTCCCCGTAGCGTTCCCTAAGCCTCAGTTGCCTCTAAAATTGGCTTGTTGCTCTTCAGAGTTATTTTTATTTTCTTGGTCCAAAGTTCAACAGTTATTTCCACAAATTAATCACGACTGCCAAACATCCAGGTTTGTGTTGTTGTCATTGCTATGGTGTTAGGAATTCGCAAGGGATGTTTTTTTCTTTTTGTACGGGTTCTAATTTTTTTAATTTTATTTTGCCAAACAAATATATTTAATGAAAACTAATTTCATTGTGAGTACTTTTGGGGGACGATATTTTTACTTAATTTCCATTTGGAACATTCTCCCTGAAGGGGCTCCCCGGAAGGAAAAAAAAAAAAAAAAAATTTCCCTTCAACTTCGCTGTTGAATAAAAATCTGAGTTGTGATGATTCTTGGAACTTGGTTTTTCTTCTGAAGTGGTCTTTTATTCTCTACAGTTCTTAGCAATTTTGAAGTGTTTGATACAAATATGAGAGGGAAAGGGGGAACCTTTCTTATCTGCATCCGATTTCATTTACTTGTTCGTTTGTTTGTAGTGACAGGGATGAGATGCGTTCAGAGATCTCCAGTGCCAGGGTGCATGAGCCTTCCTATAGCAAGGGCCCTTTGAGAAATTTGAAATCACAGCATGATGATGTAATTCAAGGCTGCTACTCTTGCATATTTGCTGGAGTAACTGTGTTCCTGTATTTCCATTTTCTGCATGGTGAGTCTTTCTGGTCACAGCAGTTTGGTGCCGGGGAAGTTGGGGATTTGTGAGATGGATTCTCTTCCTTCTCTTCATGTTCTTCTAGATATTTCACTAAGTTTGGCCTCTCTTGCTTCAAAACTGCTGGATCTAGGTCTAGAGGAACCCGCCAGCCCTTTCCCTCCCACTGCACAGGCTGAAGAGAGATGTTGGTCTGTGTGAGTTCCTCTCCTACCAACCCAGCTGGAAAAGACCGTGAAGAGGTTCCATCAGAGCTTGGCTAGTGAGAGACCCAGAGGGTACTTCCAGTGTAGGCAGACACAGAAGACCTCAGCTGAGGCGACCTTTGATCCATCCAGCCAGCCCTGACAATCCCGACTGACCTCACACCAGCTGAGGAGAGAAATGACGTCCTTGCAAGTGCAACAGAAAGGAGGATGATGAGGACATTGTATGAATTCAAGCATGAGGGTCCCAAGGAAGGTGCCTTCCTGAAGCTGTGCTTGCAGTGTTTTACGAATGCCTTGATCTGACTGGAGACGTAAGTTGGTTTAGGTGGTAATGTATGGTAGAGCAAGGAAAAAAGCGACTCCAAGTTAAATGCTGCAGTAGGAAGTTACAGTGGACTGTGGCCTGAGAGAAGATTCAGTCTGAGTGAGAACAGGGATGTGCAATGTGAGATGTGGGAATTGGAGGTGTTTTATTCTCCAAAGCCTTGTCAGACTATAGCAAAGGTAGTCAGGGGTCAGAAATCAGTGGAAGCAAAGGCACTACCTGCCACAGGGGAATTTGGAGGGGTCCTGCGCGTGAGGGATGGAGATAGGAACACGTTTCTTTACAAGACACCGATGCTGCCACTTCTCTTTGTGAAGACTCGGAGCAGCACAGAGAGTCTGAGTTGTTTTATTAATCTCCCTGACCCAGCTGAGTGACTCGGCTGTGCGTAACCTTTGCTTTTTATTTATAGAATGCAGAGCTGGTGCTTCAGATGGGTTTTGCACGTTGCCAAAAGAAACACCTTTCACTCCTGAGTGGTAAGAGCCAAACACCGCCTGCTCAGCCGCAGTCTGACGTCATGATCAGAGCAGGGAGACATCTGCGTGACATTCAGAAAGGAGCACGCAAAAACCCTCCCCCAGGGGACAACTTGAGCAGGAGGGAAAGGTTAGCCTTGCCTCCCCCACTAAGGTGAGTGCCCCAAATTGCTCAGCGAGGGCCCAGGGGAGGTGGGGAGAGGAGAGCTGACAAACCAGCCCTCTGTTTCTACCAGCACCTCACGCCCATTGGCATTACATGGAGGCACGTTGAGTCTTCTTGGGCGGCATGGGGCTCTTGGGCGTGAAACACTGGCGGCTGGCTCTCTCCTTACACCCCCTGGGCCTCCCACAAGCGGGCTGGGCTGGACTGCCTCCTCTCTCCTACCCTGGGGCTGCACAGGGCAGGCACAGCCTGACGGGGGTTCCAAGTCTGGGGCAGCTGGGTGCTGCGGCTGCTGCGTGGCTCTAGCTCACCCCCTCCGGCAGCCCTGCCTCGCGGGAGCCCCATCCCCTCGCGTGGCCCAGCTCTTTGTATGGGTTATGCCACGTGTGGGATGGTCACGTGAGCAGGCATGCTAAATCTCTCCCCCTACGTGTTCCCCCACCCTGCCATAAGAAAGAAAAGGCTTGAGAGATGCGTTGGCCTAATAGCCCAGGCAGTTCTTTTAAAAGCACTCGCAGAGCAACGCCAAGGGCCGTGGTGCAAACAAGGATCCTGCCTTCAGTTTCCAGAGCTTTCATACAGGCTCACTTCAGCATTATGAAATTATTAAAAAAAAAAACAAACCCTTTAATGATGAACAAGTATCCCGCTGCTTCCCATTCATTTAAAAGAAAATGAGAATGAAAATGGCAAATTCATTTGCTCATGCTGTTGTGTGTTCCGGAAAAGCTTTTAAGCATTCACATTCAAGGAGCTGCAACAGGAAAAAAATTTGCTATTGAAGTTTCTTGTATAATTTCAAAACATTAAGTGGGTAATTGCTTGTAAAAGCCATAAAGGGGAGAGAGAACAAAAGAAAAAAATAATAATCGGTCTAATTTTAGCTCCTCTTTTTGAAACGACTTTGCCTTTGAAAGTGAATGTATTCTTTTACCAGAAAACTTGAATCAAGAAAAATACATATCTTCTTAAGTCAACTGCTTGCCCTGCTTGTAAAGACAAGGAGAGGAACAGCAATGCCAAGTACTCCTGCACAAAAGCAGGCTCTGTGTCAGAGAAAGAGCTTGCACTCTCCGGGCTTTCATTACCGCTCTCAGAGGCGATTCCTTTTTCAGTAAGGAGAACCCTTTTATTAAACCTTACAACTTCCAGGGAAGAATAACGTTCTCTCGCAGAAAGACAGGCGGATGGTGACTGTCTTTTGGGTTGCAAAATGACCCTGCAAAATCCTGATTATTTGCAAAATCCCCTCGCGTCTTCATACCCTACCCAGGGCTGCGTTTTGCTTGCCCAGGGTGCTTGTTACCGACGTTTCTCTCCTGTTAGTTGTCCCCAGTAATGAAGGCGTGTCATGTGCATACAGAATGTGAAGGCCCGTATGGAAATCCGGTGGGGTACGCTGCTCAGAACAAATCCCTGAATTCTCTGGCAGCCGGCAAGGGAGCCCTACGTGGCCGCGGCAGCCCTGTAGCCCACCAGCTGTGACCGCACAGGCTCTGGCCACTGAACAGCTCTTAAAGAGGGACAGGGAGGAGAAACGAAACCCTCTCCTGTCAGGGGAAGACAAGGGAGAGGGACTTGGGTATGAAGCGCCCCTGAACACCAGCCTGCTTCTTGGTTGTCACTGCATTGGACTGCTATTGCATTGGAATTTCATGAAGAAATTCTTTCCGAAGAGGGTGGTGAAGCACTGGAACAGGTTGCCCAGAGAAGCTGTGGATGCCCCATCCCTGGAAGTGTTCAAGGCCAGGCTGGATGAGGCTTGGAGCAACCTGGTCTAGTGGAAGGTGTCCCTGCCCATGGCAGGGGGGTTGGAAATGGATGATCTTTAAGGTCTCCTCCAACCCAAACCATTCTGTGATTCTGTGACTGCAGTGATCAGAGGTGGCTCTGATGTGTCCAGCTCTGCAGTGGAGCAATAACCAGCAATGGCAGATGTTGGGGGTAGAACACTCTTGTACTGCCATGTCCCCCCTGCCTTTCTCTCTTCTGTTGCTGCTGCTGCACTGACAAGTAAATGCCGTCACCTTCACTGTCATGTGAAAGTCGTTCATCTAAGGAGCGTAGTAAGATGGATGTGAGATTTTACCCCCTTCTTGCTTCCTTCTTCTTGAAAGTTTAAAAAAAATTATAAAATCTAGCCCTTAAATCTAGCTCTTGCTGACCTTGGGACATCTTAGCTGTCAGAAGCAAGCCTGGAATACTAAGCATCTGTCGTAAGAGCTCTTCCCCTTATAGCAGCATGAAGGAGCTGGAAGTGGAAAGGATTTCCCTTCAGACAGTTTCTCTGCATGCTGCTGAGGGTAAAATCCCGGCAAACTCTGGAAGACATTCGTAGGACAGAGTTTTTGTCACTTACTGCTGGCTGAGCTGTCACTGCTTTCCCCAGAGCTTGCTAAATCAGGATGAGACTCGCTCAGTTCTCCCTAGATGATAATTGTACTTTAATATTAAACACCAGCAAGGCTTACACAAGTTCCCTGATTAGTGCAGAGCAAGAGAGGCTTGATTTCAGCTTGATAAACAAGCACCTAAATTTAGGTGAGTGCTTGTGGACCTGGCTGGATCAGGGCCTGTGTGAGCAGAAAGGCAATTTTCCCTGTTACTGAGTTTTCACTGCATGCTTGGGGGCGATGCAAGTAATGACTTTTCCGTCTGATGTGTAATTGGATTGGGTACCGCCGGTTACTTCAGGAGACTGAATGAGATCCCACCTGATTATTCAGCGTCACTCCAGCTGCTTCACACACCTTTGGGACTTGCACAGAGATAAAAGGATTGAAACGGGAACTGTTTCTGCATGAAATCAGCCTGAAACTTGAGGGGAGAGTGCTATCAAAAGCACAAGTTGGTTAGGGCAGGACATGGTGTAAAATGGATGTTGGAAGAGCCATGAATTTTTATAACAAGGTGATTTCAAAGTGCTGATTCAGGGAGCGCCATCCTGCAGGTGAGGGCAAGGTTAAAAAGAACTGCAGACAGTTTCAAACTCATTTAGTAGCATAGATTTACATTTTATTTTCACTTCTATCTGGGAGACATCGAAGGTCTCTGAAGAGCAGAGCTGGTCTGGTGATGCTTTGCGTGCAGGGACATGTGTAGGGCAAAGGAAACCTTTGTTAGCCATCCTTCTCCAAGTGGAGGGGTTGCTGTTGGAAGTAGAAGAGTTTCCTGAGCTGATGTGTTTTTTCAACAGAGAATTTCTCAGCTTTACCTCCTCACTGGAGGTGCTGTGCGGAGAACAGTAGCTGTCGTGGTTTTATATTGTCTTGGAAGAGCCAGACAAGCTGCCTCATATTGGGAGGCTCACCCAAACCCTCTCTCATCCAATCTACCTCGTGTTTATAGACCATTTCCTGTCAGATGTTACTTACAGGACAGTCACAAAGCCGGGGAGAAACAGTGCTGCCTGTTCCAAGCAGGATGCTGGCCTTGAGTTTCAGCCCAGGGAGGTTATGGCCGTAAGACGGCAGTGCATGTTAGAGGGTGGGAGGGAAAAGA